TGAATAACACCCCACCAGGTGTGGAGCCCACATTTTGTTTACCCATTCATCTGTTGCTAGACATAGGGTAGTTGCCACCTTTTGGCTGTTGGGAAGAGTGCTGCACTGAACATTGGTATGCAAGTCTCTGTGGCCTCAGTGTTCTGATTCATCATCCAGGGGGAATAGCCTACAGCTATGGCCAGGGGCAGCAAAGTCAGATTTAAGACGGACCTTATGCTTCCCTACTAGCGGTGACCAAAGCAGCAGCATCTCCCTGTGAATTTTTTTTTTTGGTTTTTTTGAGTCAAGCTCTCACTCTGTTGCCCAGGCTGGAGTGCAGTGGCACGCTCGCAGTGATCATGGCTCACAGCAGCCTCAACCTCCTGGGCTCAGGCGATCCCTCCACCTCAGCTCTGGAGTAGCTGGGACCACAGGCACACACCACTGCACTCAGCCCCGAATCGTTTTTTATAACCAGAGACTCCTCTCCTTCCCCTAATCAAGCCCCGCCCCCTCCAGACTGAGGTAGTGCCCTGGTGTAAAAAAGGGGCTTTAGGGGTCACCATGGGGCTTATTTTTAGCGGAGTGGTGGGGTTCCTTGCCTTCCTCGGGCTCTGGGTATACTTGCCACCGCCCTCCAACCTCAGACCCAACTTTTCTCTTTCTCCTCTCCCTGGCAGCAGCCAGGCTGTCTCACTTTTTTTTCCCCCTGGCTAAATCTGGAGTGTGAAGCTGCTCTTCTTCCCAATTTAGCATTTGAATTCGAGTGAGAACTGAATGTGGCTGGAAAGCTGACTCCCATCTGTGTGAGAGAGAGAAAGGGAAAGGAGAGGGCTCGTGGGCACAGCCGGGCAGCAGGGGCGGACCACTGATCAGGCAGCTCCTCTTAGCTGACTCCCAGCCTGAGGGACAAACCGCAGGCAAACAGCTCGCCAGAGAGATGCTGAGGTTCGAAGGTGGTTGTTTTTCCAGGAGTGGAAGAATGCTGTAGGGGCATCGTTCCCACATGCCACAAAAATGTGCCAAGTGCTTATCGTGTGCCAGGCCCCGTGCTAGATGCAGGGCAAACAGTGGTGACCCAGCCGGACCCATTGCCAACGCCCTGACCTTCAGTTTGGTGGAGAAATAGACTTGGAAACAGGCAGTGGCCAGACAGTGGGAGGACAGTTGTGGCAGGGGCCTGGAGGGGTCATCTGATAGCTTGCGGTAGAGGAGCCACTGTGAGCTGAGGCCTGGTGAGGCAGGGACAAGGGTGCTTTGGGCGGAAGCACTGCACATGCAAAGATCTGAGTGGGCATGACTTCTGCAGAGCAGGAGCTGGCACCGGGTGAGTTGGGCTCCAGAGCCTCCGCTGCCTCCTGCTCTCCACCTCCTCCCTCCCTCTCCTCCCCTTCTTCCAGGAGAACAAAACCCAATGGAAGTGACCTGTACCAAAGGAGCCTGGGAGCACGTGAGTACCCTCCGCTCAGGCTCCAAAATAGTCCAGGTGGGGACAGGGAGCTGCAGTTTCCTTCTGAATCGGCCAAAAGGCTGGACCCGGGAGGCCTGGGATGGACAGAGGAAATGGGATCTGAATCACATTATTGGAAGGATCCTTTCTGAAACCAAGGATGAGGAAGAGTCTCTGTTTGGTTTAGCTCACGCCATCCTTTCTGGAGGTGGGGGCTGGCTGAGTTGATTTCTGGGGGACCTTTTCTCTTCTTAGTCGATGGAACTGAATCATGATCTGGCTAAGATGGGAACGGGTCAAAATCTTGGCAAAGAAAGCCCCTCTGTTGGCTGAGACTGGAAGGAGCTTCCTGGGAGACCATGCGTTTCTCTGTCAGATAAATGACAGGCACAGCTAAGGGATGCTGGTGTAAAACTCACCATCAATATTTCAAGCAGCATTATTTATTGATCACTTATCTGGCTGGGACAAAAGGAGAGGGTAATTCATAGGGGATGCAAGGCTGGTGGGGTCAGTTTGGGAAAGAGGTCAGGGAAAGGTAGGCCACTGAGGAGCCCCAGGCTCCCAGCCCTGGCAAGAATACTCTGGGATGCCAGGGTTTGGGGACCAAGGGCTTTCTTTGCCTTCTCTTTCAACTCCACAGTACACCAGATGAAAATAAGGGACGGGGCTGGAGGTAGGGACACCGGGAGCAGGCCGGGGATTGCCACCGTGGCCCTCAGGAGACCATATCTGGGGAATACTGCAGTATTGCTGTGGGGTGAACTCCCCACCCCCTGGACCCAACCTCTCTCTCCCCACTTCCCTGCCCTTTGCTGCTCCAGGGTCCCTCTCCCCTCTTGACCCTGAAATCAGCTCCAGCAGCCTCTCTAGACGCTATTTCAGAAGGCCAGGTTGAGTCCCTTGGGCTGCGTGGTTCTCCCAGGGTCAGCCTGGCTAATCTCCCTGCTCCAAGGCGGTGACTTCTGGGTCTGACCCTCTCCTGTGAGGACTGGGCAGGGGGCATGCACACAGGCCTGACTTAGGAGGACGGCTCCGGGATTCACAGCTGTCCTGCACCCTCAGGGATGCTTTCTTCATGATCCTTCGACTCCAGGGAGGGAAGAATGAGGCTCTCTGCTCACCCAATCTAGCCCCCACGGGTTGCAGGAGGGGATTGTCCTCTGCCGGCCGGGGAATCCCGCGCTGGGAGGCAGCTGCGCCACCTAGTGGCCTTTCCTCCTTGCAGGCATCCCTCTCACCCGACTGCCTCCAGCCTAGATACCAACAGTCCCAGGCAGGACGCAGGACCCAAACAGAAGCCGCTGTCCGGCTCTAAGGACTTGAGGTGCCCTCCTCCTCCAGGCAGGCCTGACCCAGCTCAGATGGAAAAACGGGGATTTTGGAGGAAGACAATCAAGTACTGGCTGAAATTTAAGGCAGTGGGGAAGCCAGCAGGGGCTTTTGACCTGGAGGCGGCCTTTCACTGTCGTTCTGGATGCCACAGATATGGGCACTATGGCTCAGAGCCCCTAAGGCGCCTCCCTCCTCTGCCCGCCCTGCCTCCCGCCCGGCCGAGCAAAGCTGGGCTCAGCTCTGCTGATCAGGGGAGAGCTGGCACAGACGGATGGAGCTGCTGGCTTTCCTCTGACGTCACGGCCTGGAAATCCCATTTTAAGCAGGTTCTCTGGGTGTGGAGCACACACATAAAGGGAGGGGGAGCAAGCTGAAGCAGCTCGAGGCTTGAGGCTATTATAGCCAGGGACCTCAGGCCTGAAGGCTGCCAGTGTCCTTCCCTTAGGCCCAGAGGGCTGCCCAGAGGCCTGGGCATGGGACACAGCCAACCCCAGCCTCCAACCCAAAACTAGTATCTCTCAAAGCCCCCTGAGGACCTAGGCAGTGATCTTGTACCCGCCACACAGCTCTGGTCATCCACCTCTGTTCTGACATCTTTTCCCCACTTGCTTGGCCTGAGAGATCTACTGAGCCGAAGGGGAGAGGGGAGAGGGGAGATGACCCCAGGAAATGAGATGGCAAGGGGTCACTTAGGCCCAGACCTGACCCTCTAGTCAGCCTCTTCTCAGGAGCCTTTCCACTTATTCTCCTTGTCACCCTCATCTCTCCTCTCCTCCTCTGCACCCCAGGGGCAGGCCCTGTGCCCGGAGTTCTAGAAGCCTGAATGTTTCCATGGCAACAGACCGGTGAGCTCGGAAATCGGTGCATGTTCCTGTTGACATAGGGAAACCCAGATGTGCATGGTGACCCCGGCGGTGCAGAATCTAGCAGTGACCTCCTTAGCCGCCAGCTGCCGTGGGTGCCAGGATGTCCCTGAGTGTGAGCAAGCGTGTGTGTGCTTGCGTGTGTCTGTGAGAGAGACATGTGGCAGATGAGATTTAGGTTAGAGAGCGCCTAACCTGCTTTTCTGGCCATATGGTAGCTGTTAGCATGAGACTGCAGCATCTTACTCTCTGGGGAGAGACTCATTCTCTTTCTAGAATGAGTCTCTCCCCTGAATTTTACCCTGGCACCTTCATTTTCTTTCTAATAGAAAAGGGGGCCAAAATTGCTCAGAGACCACGATGAAAGAACGACCTTCAGAAGGTTGGTCGACTGGAGGATTCCAGGAAAGACAAAAGGACGTCTCACGTCCCCCACCATGACCTCAGAGGTTCTTGGCTAGCTTGGCTCAAATGTGGCAGATGGACATGTCCTGTGATGCCAGGGAAGGAAGAGGAATGACTAGGGTAGGGGCATGTTGCCCAACTTGGGGTCCAGAGCCTGGGTCTGGGTTCTGCTCACACCCACTGACCCCCTGCTTCCTCCATTTTCCTTCCACAAGGCCAAGCTGCCATTTCTCTGCTCCCTTTTCACTCCCTCTCCACCCTTTTCCTATGTGGATCTTTCTTCCATGGCCGCCTCTGCTCCTCTGCCATCCCTTCCCCTCTGCTGGGTTCCAGCTTTCCTGGGGCTCATCCCCAGCCCCGGTAGCTCTGGCTCTGCCTCCCGAGGGCTCAGACCCTGCGCCCTGCAGCCTCCCTCCTCCATACCAGCCCAGACCCCTTGCTTTCCTGGGACCACACCAGGAAAAGCTTGCCTCTTTGGCCCCAGCTTTTGGTGCCATCTCTTTTGTCTGTGTAGTCTTGGCTTCCCCATCTCTGCCTCTTCCCTGTCTTTCAGGGTCTCTGGCTCAACCACCTGTGGCATTTTTTTTTTTTTTTGGCCTTTCTAGGTACAATCCTCTCTCCCCTGGAGGCCTCACTGGGGTCTTTATCCTCAGATCCTACGCCTGGCACTTTCTGTGGGATCCCAGAAGGTCCACTGGGGTCGTGAGGTCCACGGGGAATTCTGAGGGACAATTCTTGGGGCTCCTGGCTCTTCTGTAAGTCCCAGACCCTGGTTTTATCTTGAGTTCCAAAACCATTTCTCAGACTGAACCAACCCAAGCCCATCTCTCACCTGGAGATGAGAGCTCCTGTGGTTCACAGGCTTACCCTCCCCATCCCTTACTCCCTGCTGGGTCTTCTCACTTGCGGTCCTTCCCACCCGTCCTCTGGGTGGGGCAAAAACAAAGCACAGAGGCCATCATGGATGAGGTGCCAGAGTTTGGTTTATTGGCTCATCCAGTGCCAAAGGTCCAGTGGGCATCCCCTTTCCAAGGAATAGGAGCTCCTGGCTCCTGCATTTCTCTTTCTTCTTCACATGCTTCTCCTGGCCATGGCAGAAGCCGGGGTGGTGTGGGGCGGAGGCTGGGCTCTGACGGGGTCTGCCCATATGCGGCCTAGTCTGCTTGGCACAGAGAAGGGATCCTGGGGCAAGGGAGGCTGGGCTCCAGGTGAAGAGGCAAGAAGCCAGCTCAGAAGGGCCCTGCACCACAGGCCCTGAGGAGTGGAGGAGTCCAGCCCAGGGCAAGGTGAGAACAGGGTGATGTGAAAGGAATCCAGGGCAGGGGAGGAAGTGAGAGGCCCCTCAAAACCCCATTCTCTCACGGGCTGGGCCTAGAGACTAGGTGGGAAGGTTGGGAGGCGGAAAGGGCCTCAGACTGTGGGGCTGAGGGTGGGAGGAAGGGACTGCTGGACGGACAGTCCTTGACCCAAACTCCCCCCAGCCCTGGGCCCACAAAGACACACATACACACGCACATCCTTGGAGCCCCTTTTTATGTGGGGACTTGTAGCACGCAGCCCTATCCACAGCTCGGAGAAAAGCCCCAGCTGCAGCTCTGGCCTGGCCACTCTGGTCATTTAAGCACACGCGAACCCCATCCTCCATTCCCGGCTAAGCCTGGAGGCCCCGCCCGGGTTCCCCGAGGCCTTCCCCAGTTGCTCCCTTTCTCCCAGGTGCCTTCAGGCCCATCCTTGGTCCATCCGGGCTATGACTGCCCCCTCCCTGCTCCCAAGCCAGGGAGAGCGGCCGGGGCATGTTAGGACCTCGGAGAAGGGGATGGCCATGGTCTTCAGCAAGGCACTGGGTGGGCAGGCAGGGCTGGACGGGGAGGAGAGCGGTGCTGGCTGAGGAGCCCACCTCCTTGGGTGGCTCCGTCCTCAGCCCCGGTCCAGCCTCTAGCCTCAACCCCCACAGCTGGGCCGCCCTCCTCTTTTCCAAACCCCGTCCAGAGGAGTGGCCACTGGGCAGGCGCCGGAAACGGCCGTCTGAAGGTGCCCCAGGGCCAGAGAGACCTGGGCTGTTGGCACAGTGTGGAGCAGGGGCTGGGCCAAGGCCCTTCCTGAGGCTTCCTCCTCCTTCTGCAGCCTGTGGGGGGTGGAGGACCTCAGGCCGAGTCGCCGCCGCCAGAGGTCTTCTTCTTGGGCCGGTTCTTCAGTGTCTTGGAAGCCAGTGGCTGTGGAAAGGGGGAGGAAGACAGGGCTCCGCCTGGAGCCACAACCCCTCCCCGTTTCCCTGAGCTCTGGCTGTGTTCTCACCTCAGTTTTGGGCACTTTTTTGATGGGTTTGACCCTCTTGGGAGCCTTGTCTCCCATGTCGTCCTCAGAGGTCTCTGTCCGGGGATCTGTCTGGTTTGTGCTGGACCTTAAACTCAGGGCAGGGTCATCTCCTGGTCGCAGGGAGAGAAGGAGATCAGGGGTCTGGGGGTCTTTCCCCCCCGGCCTCCTTGTCCTCGTGGCCTCCTGCCCCCACCCTGAGCCCTGCCCGTACCTAAGTCCTCGATGGTGTCCAAGATGCTGCCAGGGCCGGGTCGGAGGCGGCCATCGGGCCCCTGCAGGGGCAGTGCATCCTCGTCCCGGATGAGGGTCAGGTCCTGCATGCTGAAGCTTCGGAGTTTCTCTGACAGCACCCCCTGGCCCTAGGGTCACCACCACGCACAGGGAGAGCCAGGGGGGGGAAGGGGTGGGGTGGAGTTCGAGGTCACCACGGCTCTGGCGGCAGCCTGGGGCTCAGGGCTTTCCCCACACTGTCCTCCTCACCCAGGCTACACAGCGTCGAGAGGCCGGGCCACAACTGTCCCTCTGGACAGATGAGGAAGCTGTGGCCAGATAATGGAAGTGACTCGGCTAGAAAACGGGAGAGCCAGGAACCCTGAGCTGCCCAAGGTCAAAGCCTTCACAGCCCTGAGGGCAGGGCGGACATGAAGGAGCCTGGCCAGGGCCCCTTGGACACGACGGGGGCCCTGGGAGTCTGGGTTTGCCCCCTCTCACCTTGGCAGCAGCCGTGACTGCAGCATTGGCAGCCAGGTTCAGGCCTCTCTTGCCCACCCTCATCATGGTCTCATAGCTCTTGTCTCGGGCCTGCGTGATGTACTCGTCGATTTCCTGAGGGGTCGGAGGGGAAGGAGGAGGAGATGAGAGAACACTGCTGTCAAGGCCCTGTCCGGCCCTCATTCACACCCGAACAAAGGCACTGCCCGCTCCAGGAGGCCATGGCGCGGCCAGGCCACTTCAGGCTCTGAGCACCCTCAGGGAGAGCCGGGAATGGACGTGGCTGCAGGGGCACTGTGCCGACAGCCCAGGTCTCTCGGGCCCTGGGGCACCTTCAGCCGGCCGTTTCTGGTGCCCAGGGCAGACTGGGAAGCGGAGGGGGACAAACCTTCTCCTTGTTGGAGAGTGTCGGGTGCACAAACTTGCGGTAGAGCACGCTGGAGCCCTTGGTATAGGGGGACAGCAGCCATATCACGAAGGCGATCTTGAGCTCAAAGTAGAAGGGGAACCTGTTGCAGGGGCAGAGGCAAGCGCAGAGCACGGGGCAGGGAGTCAGGAGGGGCAGTGGGCCTGGCAGACCCCGTGGGAGACCCTGGACGGTCCCTCCCTGCTTAGTTTGCTGGAGTCTCCACATGGCTCATGGGACTATTCTTTCATTTTTTTTTTTTTTGAGTCAGGATCTCATTCTGTCACCCAGGCTGGAGTACGGTGGCATCATCACAGCTCACTGCGTCCTCAACCTTCGGGTTCAAGTGAGCTTCTTGCCTCAGCCTCCCAAGCAGTTGGGACTACAGACATGCACCACCACACCTGGCTAACTATTTAGCTTTTTTGTAGAGACAAGGTCTCCTTAGGTGGCCTAGGCTGGTCTTGAACTACTGGGGTTACGCGATCCTCTACCTTGGCCTCCCAAAATGTTGGGATTACAGGTGTGAGCCACTGCACCCAGCTGAGACTCGTTGTTTCTAATCCCAAAGGGACTGGGAGGCTCAGCTGCAATCCCAGGAAGGAAGACAAGCAGGGACTCCAGAAGTACCTCGCCCAGTAGCGGCTCTTCTTGCCCCATCCTCTCTCCCACAGAAAACTCCCATTTCTCTGCTCTGGGGTAAACACCAAGGCCAACTCCCCCCCCCCTTTGCTTTTGAGTTGGAGTCTCACTCTGGCGCCCAGACTGGAGTGCAGTGGCCGCTCCCGGCCACCGCAGCCTCACCTGCTGGGCTCCGGCGATCCTTCTGCCTCAGCCTTCCGAGTAGCCGGAACTGCAGGCACGTGCTACCACGCCCAGCTAATTTTTGATTTATTGTAGAGATGAGGTCTCGCCAAGTTGCCCAGGTGGGTCTC